AGAGCGAAATCTTGTTTTGTGAAGGAATGTCTTTGCTTTGTGAATGTTATGTGTTTTTTCCCCCAACAAAACAAATTAAACATAATTCTGCAAAGGCAACAGACAAGGTCCACAAAGACCTGCAAAATGAATTTCAAAAAGTGGCACAGACTCATAAGACAACACAAAAAAGTAAAAGATGTATCAGATTACTTTTTAGGGGAAACTCAAAGCAAGTGCAACTGAAGTGCTTCATCCGCAAAATAATACATGCTCTTACAGCCCAGACCATGTATATTTGAAGTTTTCTATTGTTCAAAATGCATTCTTCCATTTTAATTTCTCCTTAAAGGAAAGGTGCACATGTCTTTCATAAAACAATACTCACACAGCCATATGAAAGAGTTCTGTTGTCTCCTGCCCGTGGTTTCATTGTACGTGGCCAAAATGCAGATAGTGACGTAAATAAATAGAAAGGCCAACCACAGTCATTTTAGGGGCAGATCATGATGATTATAGTGTTGAGTTTCTAACTTTTTATTATAATTATAATAATAAGAAGAAGAATGACAAGAATGTTGATAATAATAATGTAGAATTTCAAAGAGCAAAAAAGTCTGGACAAAACGTTTTTCTTACGATAAACAAGGAGCATGATGGGAATTAAATTCAAAGGATTCTAGTCTTGCAAATAGTGACCTTGACCTTGACCCTGCAAGCACTAAAAACTCTGCAACTGAGACACTGTCTTTAGATGTCTTTTCAAAGTCTTGTAGTGCATGGTAGGTATTAGGACACTTTGGGATTTCCAGTATAATTTATAATCAAAGCATGAGTTTGTACTGACTGTCCCAGCCAACGGGATTGAACGGTTTAAAAACCTTGTAGGCTTTACTGTTGGGGATAGATAACTTTATTCCTCTTATCCCTTCAAAATAAGTTCCCTCTCACTTTACTAAGCTCACCCCTGCTTGTACCTCCCAGTTCCGAAGCCTTTTAGTAGGTGTGTGATGATTCGGTGGTGGACTCTCCCTCACCCTCCACCATGTGCTCACTGTTGTATCAGAGCACTGTGGAAGCGAAGCAGAATCACAGCTGAATCCGAAGAGACACATGCACTAAAATGCTTCACAGCTGGAGAGAGACGATAAGCTAAAGAAAATGAATAGCTGTGGAGTGCAGACTACACTAAGTGTCTTTAGTAAGATATGACTACGTATGAAAAAGTAACTCCTTATTAAATGAAATATTAATACACCGGATTTTAGGATTTAGCTCAGTAGCTGTTAATCCAAAAAGACTGAATAGCTTCTGTGTCACTGGGTCAGATTAGTTATAGCTATTAAATGAAGATAGTTTAATAGAGAATGGGAAAGAAGTATATGTACACACACACACACACATACATATATATATATATATATATATATATATATATATATATATATATATATATATATATATATATATATATATATATATATATATATATATATATATATATATATATATATATATATATATATATATATATATATATATATATATATATATATATATATATATATATATACACACAGTTAAAGCTAATACCGCCACTTTCATTTATCCTAGCTCATAATAGCATATAAATAAATTTGCCAGTCTGTGCACAAACCTTCTGTGTCTTTTTAGTATTCAAAACAATACAAATACAAAGCCTGTGCTGCTATACAATGCATCTGCAGACTATTGTCTGGCCGAGCTCTACTCCACCACCACCACCACCCCCCATCCCTGAGTTACCTCTTATTAGGGAACCAGCAGAAGGATTGATCAAACACGAATCCTGCCTCTCTCATCATTACCTGCAGGTACACATCGTCATAACTCTAAGACAGCAGCCACTGAGGAGCGTGGAGGAGGAGAGGAGGGAGGGTCTCTTTCCACAGAGCTAACAAGCTCCTTCCTGAGAGAGAGGAGTGTGAGGATGGCGGGGGGGGGGGGGGGGGGGGGGGCAAACGAGTATAAGAGACGAGGAGACGGTGGAAGGAGATTGTGGGAAGATGAATGGACGGGGAGAGGAGCAGAAGTATTGCGGAAAGTGCGGTTGTGGGAAAAAAAAAAGTGTGCAAATGGGAGCCGGAAGGGACGTACAGAGAGGCTGCGAGGAAAGAGCTGGCAAAAAGTAAGAAGTGAAAATAGGAAGGAAAAAAACGGGGGGGGGGGTGGAAATGGCAAGGTTTGCACAAATTGGCCTTACAAATGAAAAGGTGAAGCTGGTGGAGGCATGAATAATGCAAGAGGAGATTGGGCTGCAAAGCTTTGCCCCGAAGAGGCTAAAAAAGCAGTTGGAGATACAGTAAACCCAGTGGAGGCCAAGAGGGGGGGGGGGGGGGGCACAAGATTACCTCTCACCCATTCTTTACATGTGTTAAGAGGCTTATAGAGATGTAGCGAATCTGCTAACACAAAAGACTCATCCCGCTTCCCTTATCGTCTCACCACCACGTTTCACCTGCTGCACGAACCACAGCTTTGTTTTGTGACATATTTATTTCAGTCTGTTCAATCAGAGGGTCCACGGGGGGGGGGGGGTCACGTGGCCAAATTCAGTTAGGAATTTACGGGTAATGCTTGACCCCGCCATGGATTAATGTTTATGACCCTGTTATGAGATTACAGCTTTGACTGATGATTACAGTAGTGGAATATTAAATTGAATGTGGTGAAATATGTCATGAACATCAGTCTCCGGTAGAGAGCTCAGCTGTTGAGAATAAAGGGGATGAAACAGACTAGATCTCCGTTACCTTTTCGCTCACCTGTGGAGTCTCACACTAAAAGAGTCAGGAGACCGACATGTTCAAGAAGATTCAAAGCAGTAATTGCCGCCAAAGGGGCGTCTACATGATGGGTTATTTTTTTATCCATTTAAAATTAAATCTACAACACAAAAGAAAAAGGGATCTGAATACTTTGTGAAGCCACTGTAGAGTTATGTATTCTTTGGCAGAAAATAGTTCCAGTGAAAACTCTTGACGTTAAAGTATGTGGATCATCCAACTCAGAGTAACATGAACACTAACTATAGAAAGTGATTAGGGTGATTACCTTTTTTTAAAACTAATTTTCCATTGGTTAAACCAGTGGCACCCACCCTGGGCTGCCTTGAGGATGGATGCATTTTTCTTCATTTTTTTCTTCAAATTTATTTCATATTAAATTTTCAACATACAAAAACAGAAGCTGTAAACTGAATAAATGTCTAAATCACTACATCAAAAACACAAATAATATATAGCTAAGACTACTGACAACAGTTTATGATTGGTGGTTGTCATAGTAACACAACACCTCTTAAGTTTTATTACCTGGGCTAACCATTTCCTAAGGGAAACCCCGTCTTGTATTGGGTTGGACGCAGAAATCTCAAAATCTCAAAAATATCTCAAAACCTGGACAAATAAAACCAAAGCTATCTTACACTGAGCCAAACCTTTAAATCCAGAGCACAAATAAAAATGTCCTGCGAAGCTTAAGTGAATAGTTCAGTTCAATTCAGTTTTATTTGTATAGCGCCAAATCATAACATACATTATCTCAACTTTACAGGGTAAAGTCGAGACCTGACAACATTATAGAGAGAGACTCAGCAGCTCCTGCCATGAGTAAGCACTTGGCGACAGCGGAGAGGAAAAACTCCACTTTAGAAAAGTGCTGACCAATCCAAGCGACATGCTTGAGTGAAACGATTTCAAATGTCTCAGCATGTGTTCGTATTGTTGTAGGCAGGTTGCTTCAGGAAGCACATCTGAAGAGTCGTGCGTGTGCGTGTGTGTGTGTGTGTGTGTGTTCGTGTAGACACGATGCTGGCTCAGTCCTTTCTTTGTCAGCATTGCCTACATGTATCCATGCCTCAAGCAAAAAGTTTTATGAAAAAAAAAAAAAGATTCAAACACAGGTGAGTGTTTGCAAAAGTGGATGTGTTGATGCTGCCAGAACCTGGTGCAAAAAAACACCCATAATCACCAGCACCAGCAGTTTTAATGGAACTCTGGAGGACTTTTAGAGGTGATGTTCCCATGTTTCCTGTGTGTGCAGCAGTACACTGTGTGTTTGTCTATTTTTGTGGAGTACAACATGTATATAAAGTTGTGTGTCTGGACCTCAGGGCTTGGTTCTTTTCCTATGTTCCTATCTTCTCTCGTTAAGACTTCCTTTTTTCCATCTCATTAGTTGAGTTCACAGTGTTTCTGAATGCCAGCGAGAGGACAAAGATTATGCTTAAAGGAACTTTGCCTTCACAAATCACACGGGCGCTTTTCTCCAGTCGCTTCTAAAACAATAACTCCTTTATGTTACTGTACAACTCACACCCTGGATTGTCTCATGAGCCATCCTATAAACAGCCAGCTCAGTGTGTGCCAGAGACGCTCATGAGTTTTATAGTTAGAAATGTGCCACAGGATGTAGAGTTGATGAGAAGCCTGCGCCCTGAGAAGATTCATTATTTCAATTTCCCATGGTTGTTATTGTGGCAAATTTGCTATTCCCTTCTTCTTCTGACCCCTTTTCCTACTGTTGTTAAAATCCACTGTTGGTGACCAAACTGATTATTTAGCAAAAATAAATCTAAAAATAAAAAAAAAACCTGGTGGAAATGTATCCAAGACGACGTAAAGGTCTGGTCAAACAAAGTCGGGTAAGAGATGCTGATGCCAAATAGAAATGTATGGAGAGTGATTTATTAAATACATTTTAAAGTAATTAATAATCACATAAATAAATCCTGTAAAATGCATAAAGGAAGGCAGTTGTTGAGCTCTCTTGATTAAGAGAGCAAGGGACCTGTAGTTGAGTAAATGGTGAGGGGGCAGTGACTACACAACACCACTGTCATGAAAGGTGATATAATGAAATGAAATTACAATATGGAAAAAGGCCATTGCATGTTATTTTGAGTTCTGTTTTGGAGTTTTAATCAGTGAAGTTTATTTTTCCTTTCCACATCCTTTATCTCTTTTACTCTCTCCTCTCAGTATCAAGATGGTGCTGATGTGGACGAGCGGCGACACCTTTAAAACGGGCTACTTCCTGCTCACCCAGGCTCCCGTGCAGTTCTGGACATGCGGCCTGCTGCAGGTCATCGTGGATGTCGCCATCCTGTTCCAGGTTTACTACTACAGCCGCTACCCGCAGAAACCAGTCTCGCACACCGTCTCCCACACCACCAGTGCCAAAGCCCTCTGAGATCCCGCGCAAGCTCTGGGGGGGGGTGGGGGGGCATGTACAAAGGAGCTGTGGACATGTACAAACTTACATGAGTACCAAAGCACCTTGAGATGACACAGGCTGCTCTCTGTCACCTCTAAGTATACATAAAGACACATACACACCCATAAATAAGGTATGAACATACACAGACACTTGGTGATGTTGGGATCTGCAGCAATACCTGAAGGACACTCGTTACACACAAACTCGACCTTTTTGTTTTATTTATTATCCTACTGACTTCTTCCCAATGCGACAGTATGCTCGTGTCTTGGAATGCAGACTTCACAAAGAATATATCCTTGAATCAGCCTGTGCATGTGGAGAATATTATGCACATACATGAATATACAGAATATATAAACTGCAGATGTATGCACTGAAATCTGTGCTCAAGGAAAACGTGGACCAGCTGTTTTTCGTCCACATACGTTGATGATTGTTGCATGGACCCTCTGCCTTAAAAGACACACATTCAGACATGGTTTGCTGCATTACCAGCAATATAAATGTATGAGTCAATCAAAAAAAAATCTTGATATACAACATTACTGAATGTACAAAATGGCATTTGTTATTTAGTTGTTTTTTTTCCCCAACACAGTGGAGAAATGCTGGTCAGTCTACCACTTGTTGGACAGATGGTCACCATGTGCTGTGACACACAGGCTCTATCCTTGTGGGATAAAACTGTAAGAAACTAGAGGCAATCAAATTTTACCAAAAGAGAAAATAAACCCAAAGGTTTGGGGGTGCAGTGCATTGTTCATCTGCAAAACAATTCGTCATAAACATTAGTGGCCTTCAGAATAATGGACAGATGAGAACTTTGTAAAAGACAGAAGAGCAGGCTTCTGTTTGAAACCTGTACTGCTGGAATCAAAGGTGTTGAGTCACAGGAAACATCATGTAACATCATCAGCATCGACATGACCGGTGTTTGACCTGCGTGGGTTTTCGAAAAGCAAATGCCAGCATTTTTGTACTGAAGCTGTTGATGACATTTTGTATATAATTTTCTTCATTTTCATGTCACCATTTCCAAAAACCCTCACAGGAATCAGTTTAGATCCCAAATCTCAGTATTCTTAAGGTGCGTTCAGACTGAACACAAAGTGAACTTTAGACAAGGCACAATAGCATACACAGTCATTGAAGCGTGTTGGGCGCACATTTACTCTGGGACAAGGACAAGTCATCCAGAGTTGAAAACGGGTTTAAGCCGTTTAAGCCAATTTAAGCCAAACCGTGCTTTTGCTCTGGGTTTACGAATCCACTCCAGAGGGAAATGGAGTTCCTGCTGAGATCAGAGTATGAGCTGTCACACAAACAAAACAACAGACACACTCCACACATACACACAAGCTGTGTAGGCTTCTAGCTAGCTACAGCCAATGTCTGTAATGTCTGTTTTATAATGTCTGCTTGGGGCGATATAAAGTGCGAGTGCGAAAACATTCCAGGGGTCAAATAACCCCAGGTGAAGATGAGCTTCTCATTCAGTCTGAACACACCTTGAGAATGAAAACAGCATTTATACCACAGGAAGTGTTACGGAATTGATTTTGATAGGTTAGCATCTCCTTAAAAGATAACTCTGGCTTATTACAACTTGGGTCTTCCGCTGCGTTTATGTAATGTTGGCAGAATGGGGAAGAACAGAGAAACCGAGGGTTGTCCGTGTAGGGAGTTAGGGAGTTGGCAGCTTTTGTTTCGTTGCGTTCATTAACAAGTGAAATCAGATAATGACAAACAGTGTGCAGCTGCTGAATCAACTGTGAGTTGAGTTAATATTGGATTTTATTTGGAAGTAACTGCCAGCGTTGGCAGTGGGCTTTGTGGCCAGTTTGTCACCACTCTGTTGACACGTCTGTAGTTCCTTTTCGCCAACCGGGAGATGTCGTAACTGTCCAAATTTTCCGACTGAACAATATGAGGTAGAAGTGGCGATGTTTTTTTGTTTTTTTCTTCTAATTTTGGCCATTGGAGTTGCCTGTAAACAGGATAATATAAGACCCAAGTTGTAATAAAGAATTAATGTTCAAGAGAGGTTCACTTTACAGACAGATACTTCTGAATATGGTCACATCTTCACCACCTTCATGTTGCCAGCGGGTAACACTGACTGGCCAGTTTATTATTCATATTGCAAATCCAATAACATCCTCCTGATGTCCATGCTCATGACTCCACTTCACTGGGCACCGCTTTGTGCAGGTTGTACTCATCACCATTTTTGTCATAAGAAAGAAGCTGCAGCCACATATCTCGGCCACAGTGAAAACTTTCTTTGTTATTGATGTTGCTTTGTAATGTTTCTCTGGGGAGAGAAGAAATGCCAAACCAGGAGGTGTATGACTGTCAGCCCTTCAGTGAACTGTGTACCAGAGCAGACCTGATTCTGTCCTCCTCCTTTAAGCCTCAAGAAATGGAAACTTCCCTCTTGTTCCACCGGGACATGGCAGAAGTTTTCTATGAATATTTCTTCCTCTTCTCTTAAATATTAAAAAAGACCCAGTGGATGACTCCTTGGTATCTTAGTGGTGGAGGTGTACTTTTTGTGTTTATACCTATCTAGCCACCCTATTTATTTTATTTTTTTTATAGTCTTCAATTGTCAGTGTAAAGTACAGCATGCCTGTTCTTTACTCAGACTGCTGTGAGGTTGACTGTTTTGTATGGATAATGTGAGATACCTGATACATGTTCTTGTTGTGCTCAACAGGATCAAAATGACCTCAGAGTTCCACTTTTTTCACTGTTTCATTACATTTCCTTTCTTTTCTTTTCTTTTACCTTGTTTTATATGATTTGGTTTAATTATTTCATCATGTGAAGGTATTTTCCCGTAGAAACTGCCAGGTTTTGCATTGCCCTGTCTGTGAAACCCACACCTAGTTTGTTAATGTACCAAAAATACCATTACAAGGATGTTTTTTATGCTATTTTTACTATATGTGTTTGTTTATGTTTCTTTTTTCTATTAAAATGCCAGCAGCTCAGCTCAGCAAGTAACGACATCTATCAACACTTGAGGCTGTTTATACACAAAGTATTGTCGAGAATCTTGGCATTGTCACCCAATAAAGAGGACGGGGAGAGACTGATGCATCATGTCTTGTTTGATGTGTGTCAGTTGTGCAAGACATCCACCGTTGCTCCCGTCAGCGGTGCGGCTCTGGCAGACGTCAACTGTCAAAGGAAGCATAAGCCCACTAGCCATGGTCCTTCTTTGGGCTTTGGGTATATGCCATTTGAAGCAATAATAAGCACATAAATTGTAATGTGCTGGGCTTTCGCATAAAGCACTCTCCGCTGATACACAGAGGAGGCGGTACACAAATAATAGATGTACCAGCCAAAAAGGGGGGAAAAAAGATGGATTTGAAAAGGCATTTTCTAAATGCAGATCCAGATTCATAATGTTGTCTTTTTATGTCTTTCAATGTGCCATTAAACCAAGACGTGTCTGTCTCTTATAGATTAGGCCTGAATAACATTTGTGCATTGGTTTTTCTTTTTTCTTATTTGTTGATGTAAGTTCTTTTACATTATTAATCTGTTAAAACAAAATCATGAAATAATGAGAAAATCTTTACCAAGCAGAAAAAAACGATGAATGTCTTATCTACAGTGAAATACATATATGAACAGAACCACATGGGCCCTCACTGACAGAAATGTCTTTAAACTTTATCTTTAATTTAAACTCAACATCAGAAATCAGGAAGATAAAATTCCGAATTGAGCACAGTGCCTCAGAAATGTGAGTGGGTGTGAGAGAGCTTCCCTGCATGATAAATACTGTAAAATGTCTGGTGCAGACTCCTGCACATCCTGCAGTGCCTGGAATTGAGCGTGTATTAGCGTTGTCACCTCAAACCTCTTCAAAAGTCCACCGCTGCCTGAGAATCAGATGTGATGGTGGGAACTCTTAACTGACACACTTCTCCAGGATAACATTTACTTTTAAGAACCTTAAACATTTCAACATATTAAACTCAGTGAGTCTGCTGGAGAGTGTTTGGAAAATGTAATATCTTGGACAACAGGCTGCAGTTGCTGGTTGTAAACTTCCACAAATTCAATAAAAATAGGAGAGAGCAGCAAAGGTTTAGCCTAGAGTAGCATCCAGGACTGGCTTCCACACAGGAGACTCATCACTAGCAAACTGATAGCAGTGGGCTTTTTACGTAACCTATACTACACTTAAATTAAATAAATGAATTTTTCCTTAGGCAATTTGCACACTACTACATTATAGTTTTAAAACACATCTATTTAGCCACATTAATGCCTAGCGTTCACACTACTCCGAACACCTTTTGGAAGTAAGGAAGCTGAATTAGTGACTAGCTGGTGAACATAATGCAGCATTCACAAGCTGAAGAGCCAGACATTGTTTTCAGGAGTTGGCGGAGACCAAAACAGCTAAAAGAGGAGTGAATATGAAACATACATCACATACACACTTCAAAACATGTTATGGTTGTGGCTTTACAAACTGTGAGTGTGGTAGTCTGAAATGAACTGCTGAAGATCACAACCATGAGGTGAATTCAGCTCAGGGTCTAATTTTTCCCCTTCAGCAGCCTGATCCATAGGACCTGCACAGTGTGAACACGAGGACCCTCTGAACAGAATGAATCTAAGTTGAACACTTTCGTTGAAGCACTGTCAGTATTAACTGAGCGCTGAGCCAACATCACTCCTGCAAACGGAATTAATTTATTATTAATACCAGATGTGGGGGAAAAAAACAAAACACATGTACCGAGCCACAGACCGACCAATTCAAGATGTTCTAAGTGCAGAAGTGCAGCACGCAGTGTCTTGCAAATTTGAGAGCATCCTTGTGTATAATAAATTGTTAAATCAAAGCCTCTCCACATGGGACTGTGTTCATTATAATCTTTATTACATTTTTCAAAAGAAGCTGTTCCTCAGGCTATTGATTCATGAGGCAAAGCACAAATCCATTTAAATTGGGTTTCTATTCAAATGATGTCCCATTGCAACATCCGCTCCTCATCAAAACAATAATTTCATATATTGTAGATATAATAGTTTTAAGAGTGTTCAGTGTGATATTTTCATGCTTTTTAATGATTCAGTTAATACAGTGACTGCGATTCAGAGTTGGCAGACTAAACAGATCCTTCCAATCTGTGTGGCATATTAAAAATATCTCAACCTAATTTGCACTCTCAAGCACTTACACTGCATTGATTGGTTCCAACTTGACAACAATTTGCGGAAATGGTTTTTTAATGTGTCACTTCAAAGTACAAGGCCCTTAAGCCAAAGAAAATGAAGTTCTGTATTTGCAATTATATGAGGAAATCATGTAAGACTGTGAAAGGTATTTGCAACTCCTGAAATGGGGTTAGACTTAAACATCTCAGGTCTCTCGTCTTCACAGCCCGAGGGTGGTGGTCAGCCTCTTTTGACAAGAATGAACCTTTTGGCGAGTGCTTCTCTGACTTGTTTAATGTAGATTAAAGATTTTTTTTTCAGCCACCAATATACTGTAATCTCAATTTGTCACACTGATAACGCCACCTGTGCCCATTCATCATCATCAAAGATAGTAAGTAATCACAATATCATATCCAAAAATGAAGAAAATGCAAACTTGCAGTTTACTACAGTGACACATTGTGTAAGGGGGCACCAAAATCCCTACGATTCATCTTCCATGGATGCTGAATAGCCCAGCAAATAAACAGCTGGACCAGATTTCATAACAGTTTTGGCAGTTGGACAAACAGACTAGCATTGTATTTTTTGCAAGGCAACAACCAAACCCTGGAGTTCCCCACAATTGTCATGTCACATACACCTTATTAGTTTTCTTCTTCATCTTAAGTGTCTTTATTTATGTCACATGCTGAGCCCAATCCATTACAACTGAGTAAACTCTGTTAGCTGTTTAAGAGATGTGGTTACAAGCTCTGAAGAAAGCCAGTAAGTGGTCCTTGAGTTTCTAACTACCAGTCCCCAGGCCAGGAAAGGATGTTCACATAGAAAACCAATTCTAAATTCTGAAATGGTTATCTTCACACAGTTCTAGTTGTACATGATCGGTTATCACGTCATGTGTTATAATTCGACAATTTGAGAAATACAATTATTTGCTTTCTTGCCAAGAATTACACAAGAAGATTGATGCCACTCTCAAATCTTTACAGTAAATAAAGCTAAGATGGTTAGCCTAGCTTTGAATAAAGCAAAAACAGCTAGCTTGGCTCACTCCAAAGCTAAAAGAGACCAGACTACCAGCACATGTAAAGCCATGTTATATCAAGTTTTTTTAATCTGTACAAAAACTGAAGCGTAAAAAACGACAAATTTGTGCTGAAATCCTGACCTTACTCTGCGGTTGCCAGGCAACCAGTGGAGACTTTGTGCTAAGCTAAGATATCCTTGGCTGTAGCGTACTTTTTAGCACACAGATATGAGAGTGGTAGCAATCCTCTCATTTAACTCTAAGCAAAAGGGCAAAGAAAATGTCAAACTATTCTTCTGAAGCATCAGCACAGGAGCTATTAGAGACAGATGAGAGTGGTATCAACCCTCTTAACGCTTCCCAACACACTGTATAGCCCTTTGACAGATTCATCAGTTTTGTGTTATTACATTGGAGATTAATTAGCTCTGCTTTATTGCAAATAAATATGATGACATCATTGTGTACATGTATGACACTTATATAACCCACCTACAATAAGTTATTTGGTTTGCCCAAATACAATACAGAGTGAATGGAGATGATATTTCACATCAATAATAACCTGCATGTCTGACATCTCACCTTTATTCGACATAATCCTCTCAAATGCAGCTACACAAGGAACATGAATTATTAGTCTGAGGTCTGAATAACAACGTGTCATGGTTTGGTGTTAGGTTCCCTTTTGTACAGACTTACCTCAAGTCTGAATCGCAGTCAGTGACAGTGCTGTCTTTGTCAGTTTTTCAATCTCATTTGACTTGAGTTGTTAAATCGTGAATATTGTACTGTTAGCCATCTTTTAAAGTCAAATCTGCAGCTCCTCTGGAAAACTTAGGAAACACAGACACACTTTGGTGCTCAAGCACTTCACATGATCAAAGCTGAGACCTCAAACTCCAGAGAAGAAAATCTCCTCCCTGTTCCCAGTCCTGTCATCTTTTCAGTCCCAGCGCTGGGTGTCACGGCCTCCCAGGCTGCCACTTGAACACTGATAGACAGTCGGAGCAGCTAAGTTTGCATGGCCGCTCTAATCTCAGCAGCCCTCTGAGCAGCCAAGGACTTCCTCCGCTGCAACGCTGAGGCTGTGGCGTCCGTGATGCCGTGGTAGCTGTCCGTCTCCTGAGAGTCCTCGCTGTTCTGGGACTTGGTGCTGTCCTGCGAGTCCGGCTTCTGCCTCAGCGCCCGGTTCTGCTCCTCCTTCAGCTCCACGTAGGAGCGAGAGAAGGTGTGAAAGATGGACGTTACGGGGAAGGCCATGAGGAGGATGCCGCTCAGGATGCTGCTGAGCGCCACCACCTGGCCAGGGATGCTCCTGGGCACCATGTCTCCGTAGCCCACCGTGGTCATGGAGATGACTGCCCACCAGTAGCTCCCGGGGATGCTGGTGAACTCCTGCTTGGCGCCCATTTCGCTCTCAGCTAGGAACACTAGTGGGGAGAAAAGAGCCATGGCCACGCACAGGAACAGCAGCAACAGGCCGAACTCACGTGTACACCTCCTCACCGTCAGACCAAGCGTCTGCAAGCCTAAGGAGTGCCGGGCCAACCTCATCACGTAAAAGATCCTTAGAGCTCGCAGGACTCTGAGGACTAACCCCACCTTCTCCAGGTAGTTGTTCCCTGATCCCACAGGTTTCCCTCCCACCGACAGAGAGTCCACGATGAGGGTGATGTAGTAGGGGAGGATGGCCACCACGTCGATGACGTTCAGAGGCGTTCGCAGGAACATACACTTGCTCTGCGTCTGAATGAATCGCAGCAGGAACTCGAGGGAGAACCAGGCGACGCACACCGTCTCCAGCACAAAGATGTTATAGCACCTCTGGGAGCACTCACCCTGCGGAGAATGAAAAGCACATAAAGACAGACATTAAGGGTTGTGTTACATTATGCAACAGCTACAGCAGCATTCAGCGAGTGAGATACGTGAACTCCAGAAGCGCTTCAGATAGAGGTGACGTGAAGATGCAGCATGAAGTCAGTAATTAAGAATCTCTTTCAAAGCCTGGTTGATTTGTGGGTTTGTCACTGACAGAAGAGGTTTGTGCGTTTGATCTCGCAACAAAAAGGTGAGTCTATTCTTTCACGGACCAAAACACAACAGAGGAGGCACTGAAAGATTCATGAAGCGTAAAACAAAGGCTTTGATTATCTCATCCAGTGAACCTCACTCATAGATCAAACCTAGGTGATCAAGGGGTGAAAGCCGTACGAGATGTACATGTGCAGATTATCTTACATAAGACACTAACTGTCTTCACCAGAGTCAGTCATATCTGACTCAAAGGAGGCCGCACAGTGGATTGTTAAAGCTACCACAGCTGAATTGTTCTCTCTTTTAATCTTTTAATGATGATCTATTTTTTCAGGACTGCTGAAATAGCATTCATAAATATTTGAAAATATAATTATAAGAGATTACTTGGTTATTAAGTCAAAGTCACCCCTGGAGGAGACTGAAAAAGGAGTGCGAGTATGCTTGCATTTACTTAAGTGTTATTAATGACTGACAAATAATCAGTGCTTTATTTGTCAGATAATTATGTGTGGATTAATTAATATATGGGGAAACAATCAAACAGTTGAGAAAACTTTCTTTACATTTCCTCTTTAAAGGTCCCTCATTTTACACTTTTCCACTGTTTTATTTGAAGTGTTGATCCATAACAAGATATGTTTGTGGTTTTTAAGTAACTTAAACCATCTCAATGTAGTTTTAAATCTCATCTCTCAGACGTCTCTCTGGAGCTCTGGTAACAACAGGTTGGTGAGCCAATCAGAAGAGAGAATGTAAGACTCTTCTCATTGGCTGACTATTTTCTGAGTGATTGAATCGAAATATAGCAGATATCGGGTAAACACTCAGAGAAGCCAAATCCTACAAGGTTGGACGATGGGTCCAGGTGGGCGGGGCTTGAGGCATGGCGTAGGGCGGTGACCGGTTTGTTGTGACATCACAAAGTTACAGAAGTCTCAGTGTCTGAATACAGGCTGTGTGCATTTCTCTGTGGACTGAGCACTTTTATTCATTCACAGTATTAATATAGAACCTAGACCTGCTTTATAATAAAAGAAAAGTCATGGAAATCTACCATTTTACAATATGTTGACCTTTAAAACTTTTTTGTAATGTCATACAATACAGTGAAACAGATATTTCTAAACCATCTTGAATGCTTTCAGACTCAGTTCCCTGCTGTGTTGGGCGGCTCAGATATTCAAGACAACACAGGATAACTTTAGTGAGCCGGGGGATTACCTCTACAAGCAGCATAGTGGTAAAAGGTTGTCTGCAAGTGTGAATGTGCACAGCTGCGAATGTATGAGCAAACAATTTTTTTCCTTTATATTTGCTCAGTCAACAGCTCTGCTCCATGGAGACATCATTCCAACTGACCGCCCGCACAGGAGAAAAAGTCCTCTAGGATTCAGTCTCATGCATTTTTAAGCACATACACTTAGTTTTGCATATAGCACAGTTTTTGCCCTCGGGACGTCAAACTTGCTAAACCCATTACGGACCGTGTAAAATCACTGGTCGGCAAAGCTGGGGTTGCAGTTTTTCTCCCAGCAGCAACAATAAGCTACTAAAGTGAAGGCTCACAAGTGAAATGATAGAAATTAGTAATAATATTGAGTATGGGGACTTGAAAAAGTAGCTATCATCAAAGTGTGCAGAATATGTGTCTTTAGCAATGCTGCCGTTACTAATTTTCATTGACAGTGAAAGCACAGATGTTCGGGTTGATGATGGTCAGAAAGCTCCCTCTGAAAGATGAAGGTACCACTTTCAAGTACGACCACCCTTTAGTAAATGTGTTGGACGTTATTGGTTCTGATGGAAGCTTTGGGAAAATCATTCCTGTCCCACCTCCACAGGCTGGATGTGAAAGTGCTGTATAGTAACCGCTGCCAGCCTTACTTGTTATCTTTTGATTACAAACCTTCAAACTTATAGTTCCAAATTTTTTGCATAGTAATTTGATAAAAATCTGGGTAACTTGGTCCACTTTAATGTCCGCTTCAACAGTAGTAAAACTGAACGCTGACAACACTCACTGCCTCACATCATATCACTCCACCAGTCTTTAACATCAATAACTTTACAGGCAACGTGGATTATGTAGTAAATGTTTGTGTTTATGTAAATGTGACATTTAGTTAGTCTCCTCATCGGTCCACACATGCCTGATGTTCTCAGCTGCTGCCATTTTTCCTCTCTCCTAGAGCAGACGTTTCAGTGACATTTAAGTCACATGATTTCTGTACGGCATAATTTCTTCACTGAATCTGAATTTTCACGGGGTGTTAATTTACTCCTTAATGACTAAAACACATTCCTTAACTATGTTGCTTTCTTATCCGTATAACGTTTGGCTGACATAACGTTATATGAGCTTTATAATGTTATATTGCATTATGAAAGTCTTGAAATCAAGAAAATCATATTGAAAAAATATTGCATAAGGATCATGATGCAACAGGTGTAGCACCCTCTCACAAAATTTTAATTTAAACTAATATTGTTGATGCCGGTGATGAACACACATATATATATATATATATAAAATATATATGAATATATATACCACCTACTTACTGAGGAGTGTAAACAGAGCACACAGACATGTTATTTTCATAAAATGTGCATTGGCTGAAGTCCACAATTAAATTAAAATAAACAATAGGGAGTCAGTTCTCTGCCTCAGCACAGCTCCATAGGCCCCTGGCCAGCTGCTGCCAAGCCTAAAGTTTGGCTTCATGCTTTTTATTTTCAAATGTGAAATAATAACTATGAGGTTATGAGAGACAGATTGAGCCTCAGTTTGAGACGATTTAAGCCAATTTGGATCAGAAACAAAAACCTCTCCCCTTTTATAATACCCAAAACATTTGGATAGTCTTTGTCATTTCATCTGTATAATATCAGTAAAGTATTTTCTCTTTCTCTGACCAGCCCTTTTTTCCCATGTCATTTTATTCAGCTGTAACTGTGCGCCACTCCAATTGCTCCTGTTTTCAATCCATCTTTGAATCGCCATGCTCCTGTGGCAAATCTTTTTTGGAGCTAGAAAAATATTTTTCTTTCTATCAATTTTCCTTATAACAGCGCGGCACATAGCCATCTTGAAGCTCGATGTGCTTTTGCAGCACGAAGATTCAAATGTGAGGTGAAATACACCCTCTAACCACATGCTGTCATTTCACATCCAGAGGAAGATTTAAAAGCCAGAACAAATAAAAGTGCTACTGTTCAAATCCTTAGGGAGTTCACTCATTTTAACATGCAAACCAGTATGTTTCACACATCCTCTGTCATTCTGCTGTTCTTCATCCACAAGGGAGTCTTGTCTGCTTGTGCTTGTGTTTGCAACTCATACTGTCCCTTTCCTTGAATTTGAGCGGACTTGTGTTGTTCTCTGTCAGAGGTTTTCTGGCTGAGTGCTTTCTCCACTCCCTCCCGCTCCATCCTCCACCTCGAGCAGCCTCTGATGTACACAGAGCAACGCAGGATCAAATTAAAAGCACACAATTATCCGTCTCAGCGATCAGGGGACTCTGACCCTGTCACAGCTGAAGACAAGCGTGTAAACCAAACAATGCAGGAAGCGACGACCTCACCTCTGAACCCCGCGGATGAGTTGGAGTGGGTGTGATTCAACAAACAGGCAGACTTCTGATACTGAGCTGGGTCCGTTTTCGACAGGCTTTTAATTGATTTATTTACCCCCTCTCATTTGTGCACATCACTGAGCTCCACTATGTAGACTAGGTGTCTGCCGCTATATTCCAGGAACCATCTTAATATACATCGTCACAAAACCAGACTCTTATTACAGAACAATACCATGATTGTGTGTGAATCCTCATGATTATTAAGGTCAAGCATGGACAGTAGTATTTCCATTCATGAGATAAACTGGCAAATTTATGAGTGTATGTGCTATAAACACCAAGTCTAGGTTTCACCTTTAGCACTGGTTGTATCTTTAATGTTAATACAAAGAAAAAAAGAGTATGCCTTGTTTTGCTGTTGATATAATTGGATGTTCTTTCACGTGAAGTTATGGTGGAAGTTGTGTTCAGTCATAAATATGTAAACAGATTGAAACCATAAGGGATAATAGATTAAACAGGCTCAATTACCAATACCCGCTGCTACCACTGTAATAAAGTGTAATAAAAGGCATATGCTTACTATACTATGACATTTTTTATGTCTTGCTATACTATGACGTTTTTTGATGTTTTTATACCTTACTTTACCATGATGTTTTTATGTCTTGTAATACAATGGCTTTGTGCTGCATGGAGATCAAGTAGTTAGAATTGCTATCTCACAACGAGGAGGTTGTGGGTTCAAATCCGGTCCTGTGCCTTTACGGTACAGTTTGCATGCTCTACCTGTGGGTTTTTTTCAGAAACTCCGGCCTCCTCCCGCAATCCAAAAACATGGATATTAAGTTAACTGTCTGCTCCAATGACTTTTTATGCCTTACTATAGGCTATTATGACGTTTTTATGACAAATTTCTACCTATGTATACTATGACGTTTTTTGACGTTTTCGTAATTTACTATAGTATGACGTTTTTTTTACATTTTATACCTTCCTATACTATGACGTTTATATGCCTTACTACACTATGACGTTTTTATGACATTTTTATGCCTTACTATACTATGATGTTTTCAAGCCTTATAATACAATGTTCAAAATCCGGTCCTGGTTCTTTATGGTAGAGTTTGCAGGGCCTCCCTGTTTTACTTTACTATGATGTTTTTTTACGTTTTTATGCCTTATTTTACTGTGACGTTTTTTGACATTTTTGTTTCC